AGGTATCAAGACACATATTTTTAATAACGAGGTTAAATTGGTGTGCATAACAATGTAAAAAATGCGCATGAGGAAAATCTTCTTTTATATAAACTTGAACACCATGTTTCGACCCACTCATGACTGCCGCGCCGTCATAAGTTTGAGCTATCAATTTTGACTTCGCGTTGTAAGGCTGTAACACTTCTTTCAGTACAGCCGATATCCCGCGAGCCGTGCGATCAACGATTGGTACAAAGCTGTGAAATCTCTCGGTAGGTTTACCATCTTTCACAAACCGAAAAATCACAGCCAGTTGGGAAACGCACGTGATGTCAGTTGTCTCTTCAGACTGAATCGAAAGGAACTGGCAATTCTCAATTTCCAGAGGCCAAATGTTGTAAATAAATTTTATACATTGAGTCGAGCAAATCATTTTGGATATCCTTAGATGTCCCTTTCGAAACAGTTGCGGCATCAAGATTAGGGTTGCCATACCGTCCGGAAAATTCCGGACATGTCCGGAATTTAGGGTTAAATTTTGCGTCCAGGAGGAATTTTAAAAAATGCTCAAATGTCCGGAATTTTACTGCATCTGCAATCGTAATGTGCACACTGCTAATACAGAACATTGTTATTTCGTACCGTGCGCATATTTTTACTACGAGGTTGTATGAAATTGTAATATAACAGAGCGTTTTCCTTATCAATGGTGTTAAAGTTGCAAACTTTGCAAATGCTTTTAGTACTTGTGCAAATGGATGAAACCAATGGAAGAGTTTACTTATTTCAAATGGATAACCTTGAACGAGATACCAAGTTGGAAGGATGTAAAGCAGGGGTTGGAACCTACGGCCCGCAGGCCGGATCCGGTCCGCGGAGCAATATAATCCGGCCCGCGACGCTTCACTGGATTATAGTAACAAAACAGCTGTTTTAACGATTATATTCTTTACGTAACAGAATTAATTTTGCGACACGCGTAGGCTAAATTATGTTATAACCTAACAAGTATATAATTCGCAATTGCGCGTTTAATGACCCTATAATTTAATTATAATTACACAAATGGCAACAAAACGCAGAAAAGTTGATGCTTAGCGCAAATGGTTTAATGGTGCAGAAAATATTCAAATGGTCAGTCTTCGTCTACTGCTCTAAATTTTAACTTCTAATCTGTGTGAAAAAGTGTGATTCATCGGCTATCCGTTCGGTTTTCAACATTCTAAAAATATGAGGCCCGCCAATGACTTGCAACCTTTGGTTTTGGCCCGCGAGCGACAAAAGGTTGCCGACCCCTGATGTAAAGCCTTGCCTGGAAAATCTGATTAGTAAACGGATTGATGTGGACGATGATAAATGATTTGACCAATTCTGTAACTTGAAGCAGTTTGTGGAAAGTTACCTACAAGACGAAGAATTTATTAAACTGCCAACGCATAAGAAATGGTGCAAATATTTCGATCAGTCTACGAACATCACATGCCACTCCGAAATTTTAAGGATTGAACAGTTTTTCTTTGCTATTACATCCCACAATGCCAATATTGTAGAGAGAGTCTTTTCACTGATGCAAAGTCAGTGGACTAAAGAGAGAAACAATTTGCGACTATAAAAGGCATGTTGACTCTCCAATATAATTTCAAAGATATGCACTGTAGTGAATTGTTTTCATTTTTGAAATCAGACAAGGAGAGAATGAGGTCTTCAGAAAAATATGCATGGTCAGAAGAGTAAATTTGTAGTGATTGTCTTTAATTCGTTTTAAGCATGTAATTGCTGTTCTTCCGTTTTGGCACAATCTAATTCTCATTCTTATTTTTCACTCTGAAGTTGAGATTTTTTCAGTCGACGGCCCGTAGCTATATTTAGAGTGTGCTTACCTGCCTGGTGTGAGATTCTGCTTGTAACTGAAGACAATACTTTTCATTTCGGTAGCTGGCGCTTTAGCATGAGTATCGTACAACGTTAGCTTGAGTATCGTACGGCCTTAGCATTTCGGTAGCGCATATATATGGTCTCATGAAAATAGGGACCTCCTGAAAGAAGTATGTGCACCAAGATGGCGCACAACCTGAATATAGTTTTTGTGTACCGGTTAGGACTAAGGTTGTGCGACATAGTCATGCACTGTCCGGAATTTTGCTTTTTCAAATATGGTAACCCTAATCAAGATGATCTCTCAATACTGTATCTAGGGATGCGGTGTATTCCACCATATCCAATAATACCCCTCTATTAGAAGAGCCAGCCCGTTCATCGTGCCCACGGAGGGACAGCTCGTGACAACCAATGAACTTCAAAACATCTATCAATCGACCAAGAACATGGCGGTTTTTCTCGACGTTTTGGTTGTGCCGACGAATAGAAACCGCGCGTCCTTCATCCAACTGTGCTGCAATATTAACATTTTCGAATGTTCGGTATTTTACTGCATTGTCCAGGCGCTCCATAGAAGATTGATGATCCCTGGCGCGCTCGGAAAGATGTTTAAGATCTCTAAAACCAAATTTACACCAACGTGAGTCACGGGCGGTAGCAAAAAGTAGGCAATAAAAACAAAAAAGTGCATTTTTGTCCTCGCTGTAACACAACCATTCGTGTTTTTTATACCAAGTTTCTGCGCAGAATGTACGCCGACGCTTTCCTCCGTCATGGGATTGTTCCAGTGAACAATTTTTTGGTTGATCAGGCCCAAGACGTTGTACCTCTAATTTTTGTTCCAGCAGCAGCTGCGAAAACGGAGTGCGAAGTAGTGCATCAACCTTATTCATTATGAGGTCTAAGGCTAGGAAATGCGAAGCCGGAAAGAAGTGAGGAGCTCAAAAAGAATGTGGAAAATCGAAAGCAAATGGACTAAAGGGTTCTAACTGATTCAAATAACGAAACAAGCGACAAAAACGAAGGCGAGGATACTATCAACTCTTCAAGCAACCAACGAACGCGAAGGAATGCGTGAATATGTCAACACGTTGTTGTAAGAAACGTCGGCATTGTGTGTTAAATTTCGGGGCTAGCCCCGATCGGCCCCGATGATTTAGTAAAAGAAACAGAAAACAAACGAGACAAACGCGGCGAGTGGAAGATAAAAGAGAGAATACGATATACAATGAGCAACCGGGGCAAAATCGGCGTCGCCCCGTCGACGTTCGGCGAAGGCTTTGCGAGCGAAAAATGAACCATGTCGGGAGAATATGGCTGGTGTAGAGTCTGTGCAACCGATATTGAGGTATTTTTCGAATATTTTTTATTATACCGAAAAAACAACCGGGGCATTGGCGCTATTGACGCGCCGCCACTGGAAATCCTATCCTGTAAATCCTGAATAGAGAAAATTATGGCCTACATCTGTCTGACATTGTGGATTTGCTGTTGATTGATCAATTTGGAATATCCCAATATCGTCAGCCGAAATTGAAAAACATATACAAAATTATTCGATTTTTCCAAAATCCGTATGAATCCGGCTCAGTGTCTGATTTTCGAATCCGGATCCGGATCCAATCCGGTAGCGGAAAATCATGAAAATCCGATCAGATTTAAATCCGACAACCGGATTCTGCACAGCAGCACTAATGTGGGACAGATGTGGGACAGTTTCAGTCGCTCCTGTGGCTCTATCCATTTAAGTTTATTTCGACTCCATAATCAGCATAGCAATAAAATGATTGTTAAAAACAAATAAATAAAAACTGATTATGAAATCAGGTGGGCAAACAAATTCTTATTTAAGATTTGAATCGTGCAGAATGTATATAAGATGGAAGGATTTGCCAAAAAGAAGTGGTAACTTGCGTGTTCGCTCACCTAAAATAATTGAAATATTTCACATACGCTCCCACGAACCCACAACCACGGAGAATTTATAAAGTAAGAAGAACATGATAAATTACATACTGGTAGTACAGTAGTACGGTAACAAAAATGATAAATAAATAAATAAAAATGACCTACTTGCCACACCATATTACAGTATTAATAATTTTATAATGCGGTAATGGTTGCCACTGCCGAATTGATCGATTTCCTAAATGGGAGTGAACAGTAAAGATAAACTTTTAATAAAAATATATCGTATTGCCAAGCTGATTATAGTTATTATATTACAACCAAAGCCCGATTATAAGCAGGAAAAAATGAGATACCGCATTCTGTCATTATTTGAAATTATTAATCGCAATGCAGTAGTGAGATGTGTTCTGTAAAAAATTGTCACTGTTCCACAAAGCCATGTTTTACAATCATATATAGATCTAATAATGGTTGTGTGTGTGAATAAACCTAATATTTTTATGTGAATAAACACGTACCGCAGTACTGGTACCACTTCTTCTTGGCAAAACCTCCCATCTTATATATTCTGTACATTTTAAATCTTTCTAAGGTTTGGTTTGCTCTTCTGATTTCATGATCAGATTCTATTTATTTGCTTTCATCAAATATTTTATTGCCTGTCATGATGATTATCAGATTAAGGAATCAAAATAAACTTAACGTTATACTCGCTTACCTCAGTCTCCTCATTCAGTAATCTCATAATCATACACATTATGGTACATCATTGACGTCATCTTGATAAGTTAGAAAATGATCTTTTGTTACAATAGCACTATTACAGTCTCACACTCTAGTACTGACAGCACTGGGAACGCCTGAAACTTGGCAATCTCGGCTCAGCAATGTGGCGCTTCGTGTCACTGTGTTAAGCATTAGGAATATAATTGCTCTCCACCGCATCTCTGTTTACCCTTTGTGATTTTGCAGGTTCTATTAATCTGAAATGAATACCTGACTAACTAATCCCATACATGAACTAGTAACAGGATGCGAGGCCATAGTTAGCCATATGATTAGGCTGTCTTGTCGTCCTCTCCCCCGGAATAAATGTTCAAATCCTAACCTAAGCCATATATTAATACAACTATATGTAATTTTTTGTTTTGTCAAGTAATTTGTAACTGGATATCTATCTCATTCATCCATGTATTGTTTCAAATTTGTTCTGTTTTTTTTGTTTTGTATCAAATTGTATGAATAGAATGTCTGGTCTTATTGGAACTGGAGATAGCCTTATAGCAAGAGTAGATTTATGTAACAAACGACAAACTATTTTTCATGGTTATGCATTGCCTTTCATTCCCTTCTATCTGATTGGATTCTTGGCATGGTCAACATATTTTGATTTGGATCAATATGAACCTGGTGTCATCATTGCAATTGCTATCGGCTTAATTCATGCATTAACGTTCTTGTTTTGCTTTTGGTCAGTTGATGTAAAGTGCTGGTTAACATGTTCAAAGGTAAGGAAAATGAATAACATCACATCATATTAAGGTTTTGTGTAGATTACATCTAAAGTCAAATCTATAACAAGTACAGCTTTGAAAATCCAGACCGAAATATGACCCCTGGTCAATGTTCCCTCTAATTTTTTGTAGTATGTGTGCGCAGAAATTTTGGTGTGTGCTCACTTTTTTGGAAATGACTAATATTTGTGCAAAAACCAATGAAGAAATTTTGGCGTTCTAACCAGGTAATAAGTGGGCCAACAACAAACTTTCTCAACCTGCCAACCGAGCACATTGTTACATTACATCGAAATACGTCTGTGCGCAGTAAATCTATGTATGTGCGCAGCCTCTGAACACTGCCCCTGGTTCATAATGCAGGACAATCACAAAGTTCACTTTTGAAAAATGTGACATAATCTAATTTGGTTTTACTATATAGGCCTATGTTCTAAAATTTTATCTATCGGTAAGTAAATATATATTCTTGATACTAATTTTTTGCCCAATTTCATTATTTTATATAAAATTCTATATATTCTTAAAAGTATGATATGAATTCGTTTCATGACCACTGTCGCTTTATAAATTGAAAAAAATTTTCAATTAGTAGTTTGGTATTTACTGATTTTGAACCCCTTTTTTTATTTCAGTATGATTTTCATTTGTTCTTTCTATGTGATTTATTTCAGGCATATGATCCAATCACAGCAAAATTTGTCAAAGTAACTCCAAAACCCCACAATGGATCAAAGGAACTCGTTCCAATACATGTTGATGTATTTCCAGGCACAACAAAAATTTGGTTTGAATTTCAAAAGGTAGGTTTTGTATTAGATTTTAATCTACTCATGAGTTATGCTTTTAAATGACTTTTTATAGTCAAAATTTTCTTCAGTCTGGAGACCTGAGATCTCGTCAAAAAGGAGTTGGAGCCAGAGCTGATTTTGAACGACTCAGATCTGGCTTAATTTCCTACATATCCACAACTCGGCAGTTACAAAGTGTTTCTTTTTTGTATCTCTTGATAATGATATATTTATGATATGATATATTTATATAATGATAATTTGTTTAATCCAATTATGCAGGCTCACTATGTTTATGACAAAGACGAAAAGAAATGTTTCACCACAGTGCAGTTTCCAGTCAGTGAATCATTTTCATATTATCAAAAATGGAGAGGATATGAGAATGAACAAGATGTACAAAGTGCTAAAGATGATTATGGAAATAACCAGTTAGTTATGGTTAATTGATAAAAATACACCTTTAAATGTAATTTTTAAGAAGTGTAGTTTGTTTTATACAATGAAAGTTTTATTTGTTTTGATCCTATTTTGAAATATTGATAGGTCATCTGCCATTGACCTGCGCTGCGGAAGTGCCAAATCAGTCAAGTATATTATGACGTTTTAAATAGAAAATAAATTGTAATAACTTAAATTATTTTTTGTATTGTAGGATGGAGATGGTTATACCAGATTTTCGTGAACTTTTTCAAGAAAGAGCAACTGCACCATTTTTTGTTTTTCAAGTAAATATATAATTGAATTTGGAAGCCGTATGTAAACAAAATATGGGCTAGTTTATAGCAAGTCAAGAATAGGTCCAATTTGTTCAAATTTTCACTTGTTTCTTTAGTTAAGGCAAATTACACCGACAAATCTGTAATTTCAAATACCTTGGTTGTTAAGGCCTCCTATGTGGGTATTATAATTTCTGTATTATATTTCTAATAAAATTATTTCAAAATTTTATAAGGTTGCCAAAATGATACAATTCAAGATAATATTATTGTGATTACAGGTATTTTGTGTTGCTTTATGGTGTATGGATGAGTATTGGTATTACTCTGTCTTCACATTATTTATGCTGATTGCATTTGAGGCTTCTTTAGTTTATCAGCAATTAAGAAACATGGCTGAAATTCGAAAGATGGGAAATAAACCTCATCTTGTGAATGTAAGTTTTTAATTTTATTTCAAAGCTAATTTATTAACATTGAGCTTAGGGACTTCATTTTGTTTCAACCGACTGATGTAGTATTCTAAGTTTATAACCCCAGTCTAGAACAACGATTTGTATAGAAAGCTGATATATACAATAATCTCTGCTTCATACTTTTAGGATTGGATGTGATAATGGCAGTTTAATAAAGATAAATGTTTTGTTGATATAATCCCTTTAACACCGATGATTTCTCAGTTGCAAAGAATATAAAAAGCATGTTTTAATGCATTGGAAGATTCCAGATTAAAATTTCATCTAAAAAATTTACCGGGAGTTACACAGTTAATTAAGTTACACAGCTTTTTTTAGTGGTTCAATCTGTATTCATGACTTTTTTGCAAGCAACTCTAGTATTACATATGAAGGTATGGTTCTTTTTTCCTCAATGAAATCTCTAAAGAAATGCAAATTTTGTAATATCCAAGGCAAATCTTCAAACTCACTTAGCATCTTATAATTCTACTTCTACAGGTTTACAGAGAACGCAAATGGCGACAAGTTGTGAGCAAAGAGTTGGTGGCAGGAGATATAGTTTCCATATCAAGGTCTAGGATGGATGAAGATCAACTTGTACCATGTGATATGCTCTTATTAAGAGGAAGATTAATTGTCGATGAAGCGATGTTGACTGGTGAATCTATTCCACAGATGAAGGTATTTTTATGGTTTTTAATTGGTCAGCTGTTCATTTTATCATAGTCTTTTTCTGGTTGGTAGATTACCATAAATTATATAAACATAACCCTACTTTTCTGTCAAAAGTATGCTTCCATATGCTGCTCCATATGGCCTGTTGATTAGTATTGTATGTCGTACTGGTGACACTTGATGTTCAACATCCAGCAGTATGGTTGTGTATGACATGACTCATCTCTGACTGGTTCACATAATGGCTTCGCTTCTTCCACCACTGAACTTGTATGGAAATTTGCTTGAAATTTATTTTGAAATAACACTCAGATGTTACATCACAATGCCTAATTGGGTAATATGAAAATCATTTGCCCACCAGACTTCTGATATACCCGGCATGGAAATACTGTTAAATTATTTATTTTAAGTCCTTGATAGTATACTTAACTTTCCATATAATGTACTGGTACAGCACCTCCACTATAATTAAAATTTTGTGATTGTGTACAGCCCAACTTGCAGAATATTTTTTCAATGAAATATTACAGTTATAACAACTTATATGTTATTATTTTAGAATTTCACTATATCAAAATTTATTTATCTACAGTAATATAAGAAATTGTCACAGAGAACAACAAAATTTATTCAGACATGATCTTTATTTGTGACTTTAGGAACCTATTGAAGGAGTATCTGCAGATACAATACTGGATTTAGATGTTCATTCAAGATTGCACATAATAAATGGTGGAACAAAAATAGTGCAGCATACACCTCCTCCTAAAAACACAAGCAAGGAAGTTACAGGGAAAGAGAGTCCATTGAGACCTTCAGATAATGGATGTGTTGCATATGTATTGAAAACCGGTTTTAACACATCACAGGTAAGTAGCAACAGGCATTTTTGGTTGAAACCCTAATCGGGAATTTCAATATTTAATTTTTCTCCATTATTATTTGTAATGAATGCTTTGGCATAATCGTTTTTTTAATTTTGTAATTTTTTTCCCAGGGCAAGCTTCTGAGAACAATCCTATTTGGTGTGAAGAGAGTGACTGCTAACAATTTAGAAACATTTGCATTCATTTTATTTTTACTCATTTTTGCGATTGCTGCTTCTGCTTTTGTCTGGATCAAAGGTACTGTTGATAAAAAATATTTCGACCATATTTTGAATAGCAATCAGATATTACTTTCAAATTATCTTTTACCGTTTCCACCGAAATAGTTAAATTCTCGGCGCTCCAGAAGTATGTGTACCAATATGGAGGTAAATAATTTTGTTTGCCTATTTTACATCAAGTTGTGTAAGGGGACTGAAACCTATGGGCAGGGGGTATATTCACTTGGTTAACACAGACAGTCCCTGAACTCGTAATAGAACTAGAATATGGAAAATCAGAATAAAATTATGGCCTAATCCCAACCTGGTACACATACTAAGGGAGTAGTACCAAATTCTCCATAACGCTATTCACTATATCACCAGGTACTGAAGATCCAAACAGGAGCCGATATAAACTTCTACTAAACTGTGTTCTCATTCTGACATCGGTGGTTCCTCCTGAATTGCCAATTGAACTTTCACTTGCTGTTAATTCATCTCTCCTGGCATTGTCAAAACTTTGTAAGCATTTTCATGAACTTTTATTTAAAACTTGATCTGTTATATACTGAAAGGATCTCTCAGCTTTACACTGTGTAGGTTTATCTAGGGCTGACATGGGTAAACTACGGCCGCGGACCAAATCCGGCTCAATGGGTAATTCAATCTGACACGCCTGATGATGCCACAACCAAACCAAAATAAAATTTTGATGTTTTAGCTGAAAAATAGCTCAAGGAATTTGTTAAGATTGCGATCTTATTTTGTTTTGACACCAGGCCTATTATTTTCCACTTTTGCTTTGGTAACACTGTAACTATTGTTCATAAAATGTAACTTTCACGTCACACTTACATGGTCCACCTGTCCAGGTGGGCGAAATTTTTTGCCTTACCCACCCCTGATCTAGGGTGTTAGTGATCATTTAAAACTCTTTGGGGTGTCTAAAAGGATTGTTTGAATAACTTAACAGAACAAATTAACAGATATGGTTTTATTCCCACACACAAATTTTTTTATATGGCGCACATACATGTCGTTCGCTCCGAACAAAGATCTAAGTTCAGCTTAGCCTACACTATCTAGTACACACTGGGTAAGGTGGTGGCATATGATTTGATCCTGAGACATGTAATATGGATGTCAGAGAATTAGAAGATTTACAAACTATTACAATGTGGTTATCCATTATAAATTGAAATTGTTACTTCCCAAAAATTTTAGAAGTTTGAGAAATGTAGAATTTTTACGAAAAACTTTATGCATTTAGATGTTTTTTGCACTGAACCATTTCGTATTCCATTTGCTGGAAAAGTGGATATTTGTTGTTTCGATAAAACTGGAACACTGACGAGTGATTGTTTAGTTGTGGAAGGAATTGCAGGTTCGTTCATATTTAAATACTTTTAATACCTTCAAGCTTGTATGCCCAGAATAAATTGAATGTTCAAATACATTGAAAATTGGTTTGTAAATTCCTGATTTCAGGAAGCATTTATAATTATTCAATTCGTAATAATATGGTTTTTCTCTTTTATTCTCTGATGTTCAGGCCAAAATGCAAGTTATATAACCTTTTATAATTTATTATATTTAATTCTAAAGTTTGTAGGCCTATACCTTTTAGATTTTTTCAATTTTAGACATTGTTACTTACTTCACAGAAAAACTAATACTATAATTCCAGGTAAGCTATGTTTTCACTACTTTACACAATCTTTATTTTAGGTGTCAATCCTTCATCCACAGTAGAAAATCAAGATGAAAATAACAAACAAAAATTATGTCCTGTTCTCAACTCTCCTGTCATTACTCAACAGGTACTTTTTTACTTACACTAAGAAAGGTTTCTGGAGATTATGTTGCTATGTTTACTGTATGATAGGTCTGAGTGGAAACTCAAACAATGATTAATTGCATGAATTTGCCATTAGATTGACCTTGCTAGAAATGTGGTAGTAATTTTGAGTGTACAAATCTGATATAAAGACCCATTCATTCAAAACTGTTTATATTGCTTACTGTTCTGCATACATCATTTTTTCGAATTCAGTGATTCTTTTCATTGCTAATGAACTTAAATCTATTATGTTTTCTGTTCTGTTCAATATATTTACAATTTTGTTCAATTTAATATTTTCAACTTGAAATTTTCAAATTGTTTTATGTTGCCGAACTGTTACATTATGTTTCGAACAGGTTCTTGCATCATGTCATGCTCTAGTGAACATGGAAGATGATCTTGTTGGTGATCCATTGGAACAGGCAATGTTAAAAGCAGTGGATTGGTCTCTAACCAAAGGTAACACCAATGCAAACTTCCAACATTCATCGTCAAATAAAAATAGTTATACCTCACTAGGCTAAAATAATTTGTTCAGGATTGGTGTTCGACTATCGATTTGTTTGGTAGTCTACGTGACAGATTGCGAACCCGTACTGCTTAGTTTTGAGCTTCGTGTCCATATATTCGAGCACCACATTCTTGTTGTATGGGTGGACAAAGTGTACCACCGCAGCATTTTCGGCTAAAGTTCTTTAGTCGAGTATCGAGGCATCACTGTATCTCTGTAATTTCTTTTTGTGGTTGAATATTGTAATTGTATGTGGTCCACTCAATCATAATCTTTACAGACTCACATATTAGTAGCTCCAATATTAAGTGCTCACTCGTAAGGTCACTCCCACTCAGAGATTGATCTCCTTCTCTTCTAAATGAGTGCTTACTTTTATGAGTCTTTCTTTGAGCAAATTTCCCTGAAAAAATTAGGTTTGCAGGTTTAATATATATTTAATCACAATCATAGGTGACATTGTGATTCCTAGAAGGAAGTTACCTGGTGCTCATCCAATGAAAATCGTTCACAGATTCCATTTCAGCTCTTTGTTGAAGGTATTATGATTATTTGTTTGTATTTTATTAGTAATCTAGTATTTAGAAATTGGCTAGTTATATATCATGATAGTCATTGAGTTTTCCTCATATTCTATTTATGTGTTTAGAGAATGAGTGTGATAGTGAGTTATGAAGAGTCTGGCTCAACAGGACATAATTATATGGCAACAGTCAAAGGTGCTGCTGAAGTATTGAAACCAATGGTATGTTTATTAAATTACTTAGAAATGATTGTTTCATGTTAACACCAGTCTTGGTAGTAGTGATATTCCTATCTAAAAAAAACGAACATTCAAATTCTCAATACCCAAAGATGGTTGGGGCCACCAAAACAATATTACTTTTATCTTTTTCAAATTTATCTTCTGAGACCCAATACTTCTTCCAAAAATTTTTTTTTCAAATTTTGATTAAAGGAGAAAATAACATATGGTAATTAGATAGATAATTTATTTTGATCTTCGCTACATACAATAAAATTTCGATATAAATGGCAACAAAGGGTGGAAATTATGGAAAGTTGCCAATTGCCATAAAACCTTAATAATTTTCCATAGTGTATTTTTTTCATTTTCATTTAGTTCACTAAAGTCCCTGACAATTACGATGAAATTCATCAAAAACTATCTCATCAAGGTGCAAGAGTTCTCGCACTTGGAATCAGGCAAATGGGAAGCAATTTTTCTTCACAACAGGTTAGTAGTACGATTATCGACTTGAACAAACTAAAAATTGATTTTTATTAATAGAATTCTGTTTTTCTTTGGTCGTAACTTTTCTCTATACTTGAAGAATCATAGAATTTGCTTTCATTGAAAACTTTGTGGAAGTAGAGATATTAGAGAAAAAACAGTCTTTCAATATTTGACTTTAATATCATTTGGCAAATGCTTTCTTAATCCTCGATGGTAGAACTGTTGCTATTTGCATAATTTGTTTCAATATCATTTATTATATCAAATTTGATGCTTCAGATTCGTGAAATTAAAAGGGAGGAAGTTGAGCAGGCCTTGGAATTTGCTGGATTTGTCATCATATCAAGTCCACTCAAGCACGACTCAAAAGCAGTCATCCGTGAACTCAAGGCTGCATCTCATCATGTAATATGTCAAAGTTTTTCCCATTAAAAAATGCCTCAAAGGAAGGTGGCAAGTATTAACCCATGAGAAAGCTATAGACTCGTGACTCAAAGTGTTAAAAAGTAATCCTATTATTAAATACTTAAAGATGAGAAATATTGATTGGAGGTAATCAGTCATGAGATAAATTTTAGTAGGCCATTGCATAATAAAGATTTCTTCATAATGGATAGTTTTTCATATATTTACCCTGGGAAAACTTTTATGAAGGCTTCATCCGATTTCATACGAGTGCCTGTACCGAACGGTGCTAAAATATATTTTATGATATACTATTCAATTTAATTTCAAAATATGAAATATCAAAGTATGTACACAGACATGTCATGATGGCCGGACGAAGGCCCCAACTTTATAAAATCAGAACTTATTTATTTTTAGATCAGCATGATTACTGGTGACAACCCATTGACTGCTTGTCATGTTGCGAAGGTTTTAAAAATAACAGCAAAGAAAATCTTGGTGTTGTCTGCAACTGATACAGATCAAGGTCAGTTTTTTTGGTGTACATATTCGTTGAAATCTGAAATATTATCTAATCTCCAAGTCTAATGGTGTACAATACTCTAATTGAACTGCTCATGCCAAACTATAATGTTTTTACTCTATAGATCTCGATAACAATTGACTCAGATTTCAAACTCTTTTAAAAAAATTACTCTGACGCTGACTGCGGGTCTACAAAAATATGACTCTGGGCTAAGTGAAAGTCATCTTTTGATAACAAGATCTTTGACATATAAAGCATTCTTCAATTGAAATCGCCTAGTCAACTTAATGCTTTTGGAGTTTCTCGAAAATGGAATTTTAACGTCGATTATCATTTCTGACTCAGCCAGGCGAATTTAACGTTCTGACTCGCATAACTTTGAAACTACGACTTCGACCCCATTTTCAATGAAACCACTTCAAACTTCTGACTCCCATCACCACAGAACTAATTTTTGGCATCGTTTTTCATATTTCATTTTCATTATAGGTTCTTGGCATTGGAAGTCTATTGATGATGCTGAATCTTTCCCTGTTGAACCTCAAAACTGGAGGAAGGTTTTAGCCGAACAGTACGATTTATGTATAACAGGAGAAGTAAGATAATGATGCCAGTTCATTTCTCATTATGTATTCATTTTTAATTATTAGATTTATAATGAAAATATTAATTCCAGGGTATGACATTTTTGGAATCTTTCAATATAAAATTCTTAAAACAAGTTCTGCCTGGCATCAGAGTGTTTGCACGAGTCAGTCCTAAACAAAAAGAGCAGGTTTGTTTTTCTTATTTTTGTTCAGTTATAATTGTTTCCAAGCTCAGTGAAGTATATTTAACACATTGACTGGAGATATCCAATTTATCAAGTTTTGAACTACCGTAATATTCTACGTATATACATAAAAATGGCGCTCTAGAACTGTGTGTACCAATTTGGAGGTAACTAATTTTGTTCACCTACTTTACATCGAGTTGTGTGACTGGACTGAAACCTATGCGCAGGGGGTAAATTCACTTGGCTAACACAGACAGTCCCCGAACTCGCAATAGAACTAAAATCAGGAGAATCATAATAAAATCATGGCCTAACCCAAACCTGGAACACACACTACGAGCATACCCATAAAACAGTTTGCAGTAATTTTCTTCCAGTAAGATTGGTCTTTTTTAAGGCGATATGAATTAATAAATTTCAAATCTAACTTTCAACAGGTGATCACAAATTTGAAACAACTTGGTTTCACTGTGTTGATGTGTGGGGATGGTACTAACGATGTTGGTGCTTTGAAGCATGCTAATGTTGGTAAGAAATTTATCTTGGAAGTTTCATTGAGATGAAGAACATCTTGGACATTTGAATAAGCATTAGTTGATCAGATAGTCTTTCGCAGTAACTTGTCAATCACTGTCAAAATATTGTATGTCATTATTTTTTTAAATTTTTTTTTTCTTTCAATTATTTCATGCCTAACAAAAATAATAATCTGAATCTGACGAAGGAAAGTTCTCATGATCAGTTTTTCAAATGTTGTATCTTGTATACAACGGAATATATATTCAGTAACATGACAAATATTCTTTTTAAAATGATGTCCCTTTTTGATAGAAAATAGCCTAAAAATATATGTGACAATATCAACTGAATTTTTGCATTGCTTGGGCAACATTCAATGCTATGGGATGACTAAATTTCCCAAACTCAGATTCCATGACCCTTGATACAATTTTTTCTTTCAGTCATTATGCATCGCTGGTTTTAAAAGATCATCATCTGGGTGTTTGCTGGTTGTTATCATCTATTCATATGATTTTTCTAGTCATTCTTTGTCTCAATTCAATGTTCTTCACTTGTGAGCCTTTACAAATTACATCTTCTCAATTTAGACAGCAATTCCATTATACAACATTCTGCTTACTTACCTCGTTATATATTTAGGGGTTGCGCTTCTTAGCAACGCACCTGCTCCAAAAAGAAACATACAGGAAGACAAGAATAAGCCAAGTTTAAGCAATGGTAATGATAAAAAGCAACAAAACAAACAATCTGAACAGTCAGCAAATCACCCAGGTCGGCAAAATGTTCGTCAAAGAAATTTTGAGAAAGGTCAACCCAGAGGAATCAAAAATAGGTAATAATTTGAATTTTTGTTTTATGGAAACTGCACCATATTAATTTCTTCCAGATAAAATTAATATGTGTATTCATTGTATGCCTAGGTGACATCCAAGTCAAAATAGAAAACTTGCTCTCTCTGATTCTTAAATGTCTCATTGTCATAATACATTGTTTTTTCATCCAATGTATTTCACAAATAAACTTCAATCTTCCTTGCTTGTAATTTGAAACGAAGCGAACGTTCAGTTAGTCTAGTTTCACAACCCTGTTATAGGTATCCAGTATGCAAAAACATCCAATTGAGGTTTTTTCAAAACCAAGTCATTATCATTACCCTTTCTGCCTGATCAGAATCATTTGCCAAAAACAGCACTATGATACAATAAAATAATGTCTGGAATCTGCTGTTCATAGTGTATTATAGTGGATACGAACACAGGCGTGGAATCAAAGAAAATCATTGACAACAATAAATAGACTCCCTTCCTGGGGGTGAACCCATTCATATTTGAAATTGGTTGAAATTTTGACTGCAGCTCCACACCTTAGAGAAAATTAAATTTCGATAATAACAACTTTAGCGTGTGCAACCATTTTTTAGTAGACTATTTAGAATGCTCAACCACTTTGAATGATTTCGATTATCACTATCAAAAGTCTGAAATTTCAACTTCCAGTTTTCGGGGGAATTTAAATATCTTCCTCACTGAAAACATGCCAAATTTGTCACTTCACAATCCACATCCATGGATACAAGTATTACGGACTATCACCTCAGCATCAGAGAAAAATAAGGTGTAACATATATTTTCTCTGTACCAGGATGCAACAGAGACAAGAAGAATTGGAACGTAAGAAAAAGAAACTCCAAGACATGATGGGTGAAATGGAACAAGATGCAAGTGTTGTCAAACTTGGTGACGCATCCATTGCTTCTCCATTTACTTACAAATTATCGAGTATAATGGCAGGTAATTATAATGCACTTTGTATCTATCGGAAATCAGTATTGTGATAAGGTTGAAGCGATAAAACAATTTTAATTCTCTCATTGATATTTGTTTACAACTGTTTAGTTAAAAATGACTTCTGAAGGCAGAAAAATATAACCACACTTGGTATGATTGAAATTCATATAATTTGCAATTTGTATTTTGAAATTTTTTCTTCCACGTACGAGGCTCAAAATTGAAGACATGGGGAACTGTTTGTAGAAGATTTTGCAATTGTGGTGCAGTTTTACTGTTAAAGTCGGGAAACTAATTTTTAGTATTTCATTTTGCAAATTTGTGAAGCGAGGGTTGTGTAAGCCCCAGTTGCTTTCTAGTATCATTTTCATTAGTCAGCTATTGGTTTCTTTTTTACTCATGCAGAAGGTATTATAAACTGTATCGAGCGGGAGTTATGTAATTCAATATGAAAATTATGTATTTTTACTTCACCAGTTTGTCATATTATCAAGCAAGGAAGATGTACTCTTGTAACAACATTACAAATGTTTAAAATTCTTGCACTTAATGCATTGATATTGGCGTACAGTCAGAGTGTGTTGTACTTGGATGGAGTCAAATTTGCTGATGGTCAGGCTACTCTACAAGGTCTACTGTTGGCTGGTTGTTTTCTTTTCATTTCAAGAAGTAAGGTGAGATGTGGTGATTTTACTGAATTTTGATCAGTTGCTATTATTTTTCCAATAGAAACAAAAGACTCTGCTGGCTTATGTTGAACAAATTGGTGTTTGGTTCAGTGTCATCATGAAAAAGATTTAAGGCCGTCAAAGCTAAAACTGAATATACCACTATTTTAAAGACATTCTAAAAACAATTTTCGAATATGATGCATCGAAATCATTAACCCTGAATTTGAAATTGGTATTGGGTTCTGTAATAGAAGTTGTTACATATAGTATAAAAAGTTACAGATTACAACAAGTACAGTACTGCCATTTTTTTGCCCTGAAAACACTGCTGAAATGATGAACCCGCTATATATCACATCAAGGTTAGATAACCCTACTTTAAATTAATACAGCATTAATATATTGTTGGAAAAAATTTGTGTTCAGATGTTATTGCTAATGTGCACTAGTGTAAATCTCAACAAGTAGCAGCATATGTTCTGTTCATCTGTATTTTTGACACTCTTATTTTGATTTCAGCCATTAAAAGTGTTGTCTGCACAACGGCCACTTCCGAATATATTCAATATGTATACAATCTTAACAGTAATAGGGCAATTTGCAATACATTTCGTGTCTCTTATATTTCTTGTGCAGAAGGCAAAGGAGCTCGATCCAAAGTATGTTAAGAAGACTTATTTTTATTGAAGATTTTTTGTTTTCTATTTACAAATAAGAAACATTTCAGAAATTGAAGGGTAGAGCAAAACAACCGATGCGAATAGAAATTTCCGTACTCCCGTAGTATGTGTACCAGGTTAGGGTTAGGCCGTAATTTTATTTCGATTTTCCTTGTTTAAGTTCTATTACGAGTTCGGGGACTGTTTTTGTTAGCCCAGTGAATATACCCCCTGCCCATAGGCTTCTGTCTCTTTACCCAACTTGATGTAAAGTAGGCGAACAAAATTAGTTACCTCCATATTGGTACACATACTTCTGGAGCGCCAACATTTATTAGCTAAGATTTATTGCTTACCATTTAACTTATTTTGTTTATTCTTGAGTTTAATAGTTTGGGGTTATGCCATGGTGTAATCTGGATGACATGAAAATTTCAACATGAAACTTATTTCTCTCATTATTGCTTATAATCATCATAATAGCCGGGGCTTCATATGAACCTTCAGTAATGAAATACCATCAAATATTACCATTGTTCAAAAATATTGTTAATGCATGATAGTCCAAATATATATTCCAGATTTATTACAACGTTAATCAACAATTCTATCCAATTCAAGAGTCTTGCTGCACACTAACACAAATGTATCTCTGTAACGTTTCGTCCGACCAAAGTCGGACTTCCTCAGACAAGCAGTTTACCACAACCAAATGTGTTTTTTTTAATACAGGGAAGAACCTATAGACCTGGAGGCAGATTTTGAGCCAAATTTACTGAACTCAACTGTTTATATTATTTCACTTGCTATGCAAATAAATACTTTTGCAATTAATTATAGGGTGAGTTGAAATTTGCTATTTTTATGAAGAGTTTTTTTGTTCACTGTTCATTGATGTACTGTCATTTTTCTCTGAAATTGTCTCTCCTGATGTAATGGCGTATTTTCAACAGGAAAATTAGTTCAAATTTAACTTTTTGAAATATAATAAAGGTTCTCTCATCTGCTTACCAGTACATGTTAGGTATGTGAGTACTTAACCAGTTATTTGTTTCATATGGATGGACTTGATATAACACGGATATAAATATTTTCCATAATTTGCTTTTACCAAATTGTCATCACTAATTTCAATAAAACCTGAAGCAAGATATAAAAATTTCATCAATTTATTTCAGGGGCATCCCTTTATGGAAAGTCTTTTTGAAAACAAAGCATTGCTATACAGTTTAGTGGGATCAGGAACTTTTCTGATTTGCCTGGTAACTGGAGCAATGCCTGATGTCAACGCACAATTTCAAATAACTGAAATTGATCCTGAGGTCAGTCACCACTTTTAACGAGTTATATTAATGGAGCAATACCTTTGCAGCTTGTCATTTATCAAACACCAAGCTGTTGATGTCCAGATCATTGTAATGTGTATATCAATACCTGATTGTTATAGTTTTGTAATATGGCTAATGAAGCTTCTTATAAACAAAACATTCCAATGGATCTGCTGTGCCCTGAATTTTTTCTATAACATTGTGTGTGGTTAACAAAATATTTTGTGGCTGATGGGACTTTAAGGTCCTGTACCTTCACGATAACTTTGTATAAGGTTATTAAAACACCATTATGTCTCTCCTAGTTATTGGCTGTTTATTTCTTGAAATCCTCAAGACTTAATGGCCGATTTTTAGTTGTGTGATACATATGTGGATGAACCTTTAGTTGACAATCGGAAGTTTTATTACACCACCCCATCGCACAATTCCAGAAAAAATTCTTTTCTCCCCGAACAATATGCCTGTTCATTTTTCTGTGACATTTGTTAATACTCTGTTCATTGTTACAGTTTCGAATGCTCATCTTGCAAGTTGTTGGAGCAGATTTTGTGTGTGCTTTTCTTGTGGACAGAGTGATGAGGTTCTTGCTTGGACGTGGAAGATTAGCAAAAATTTGAACTTGATGACATCACAAAGATATTATTTTATATTCTTTAAAGGCATTGGACGCCATAAATGCTGCTGATCAGTTTTGGGTGTCAAATTATTTTATCTTCATTGTGATATGCAGAGCACAGATATGGTAGCTCGGAATTTAGTAGATAATGAATGGAAGATTCCAATTGCCGAGTGTATATTTAAAGTTTCATTGCTATTTATGGCCTCAGTTTTGTAAGGCCCTCCATAGTAATCTTGCCATTACAAGGAGTTTTGAGATTATGGTCTGTTTCATTTCATGCACAAGGTAGCGTACTGGGTTTTTCTTCTTTTATTTCCCGATTTTGCTTCATGTGAAATAATAGGTTCTATTTATCAGATATTGAAAGTGAATAGATTGAATTTGTCATATTCATACTGGGTAGAGAAGAAAGCCATAGAGCAGCTAAATCATATGCCAAAGCTGGCTTCTCAGCCGTATACTAGTTAAAGTAACTAGGTAATTGCTTCAGATGTACAGACTTGTGAACAACCATGAGATGGTGAAAGAGTCCAGTAATCATATCTCCGCATGATGCATCTACAGATTTCGTAGAAATCTGTACCTGAGTTGGATAGCAGAGTGGATAATTTTACCAGGCATCGAAAAAACCAGGACGCATCATTGGTGGTTGTGAAAAAGGGGGAAGGCGTTTGAGTCTCTCGGCACAGCTTCGAATTTTCATCGGACACCTGTTTAATACTAGAAGTTTCAAGATAAGTGCTTGTTGTTTTATGGGTCTTAAGTCAAAACTAGAGCTCTGTCGCTTCCAAAACTCTTGACCTGCAAAATTTTTCGCGATACTCTACATCTGTGAACAGAAAATGCGATTTATAATCAAATGATAGGCATTGCTTTCTTGCACAGTTCGGTAAAATATAAAACATCGTGACGATATTATAGGTGGTGACGATATTACTTAGTGCGTGGTTTGTAAAGCGGCGAAGTTAAGTGACGTGATGGTTTGGTAATCTGGCTGATGGTAAACATATGGTCCCACCATTACCAATGTCGATCAGCACTTATAAAACGTTTGTCACCGCTACTCGATTGCCCGACGTGGGTTTGAATCATGCAGTGGTTCCCAACTTCTTTACTTCGGCGGACCAGAAACACAGTATTAAGATGACCCAACTAAGCAAGAAAGCTTGTTGTGTTTGCCTTTGACTGTGTAAAACACTTCGAAATTATGGAATAGGAGAATAGAGGAGCAAATAATAATACCATCGAATAGCAACGCATTGCAAAGTAAACACATATGCAACAGTTACAAGTTGTTTCTGATGCATATATACTTGATATAACATGGATATAAATAATTACCATAATATGCTATATAATATTTTACCAAATTGCAAAAGTTGTGCTTTATTTATACTTGACATAAATTTACCTGTTGGCAATCATGTACTTTGTGGAAGCTGTCGGCGTATTTTTGAATAATGTGAAATTTTCATTAAAACAATGTACAATTGTAAAGCATTTTCCATGTAATATGGCATGGGAAAGACTATCACACGAAACTGCGTGAATTAAGTTAATCTTTGTTCGAATTTAAATGAAAACTCGAGTTTTCTCGCAAACTCTGTGGGAAATTTAAAGTTTAATGATTTACCAATATTGTTCGATTCAAATGTGAAACTCAATCAGGTTTCAATGGTAAAATAGATTTTAAAACGAGTAATATTCTTATCTGTTCGAAAGTACTTGGCGTACAGTGCAGAAAAAAATTGGGAATACAAGACGGTTCATAATTTTGATTTAAGCATCATTGGATTCGCTGTCGAAGTACTATGATATTCATGTAACATTGTTCACATGTGAACCAAACAAGCGTTATAAGTTTTTGACTCGAGATTTAACAAAGAGCTTTCACGAAGAATCTGAACCGAGAAAGTGTGACTATTCAGCGTCAACATGTCCCTGGAGCAATTAATACAACAATATATCACGAATAACCACACACGCGATGTAACAGCTGAAAATATATCGCTCAACAGAGCAACGCATATTGGCTATTTAGGATTCAGTGAAGTGGTCGCGCCGACAGAAACCAACAAAATTGCTGGTTGATACCCATTGATCTGGACTAATTCCATTAATAGTTAAGTCCCCCACGTTGTACATTTCCTATTATCCGACCTTTGCCAAAGCTTCCGAGTACCAGACTCCTGCAAGTACCCAGTCTAACCCATTTCAAAAAAGCAGACTTCCATAGCCGCCACATTTTTAAAGTACAAGCACAGACAATAACAGTCCCTTGAAAGTTGTGTATTATAAACAAAACATTTGCACATTATTACATGGTTATAGCGAGCTTTTACATGGAAATAAGCATCCCTGCTAGCTTCAATTAATGTTATATCTGCACCTTCATTCAAGTTCAGGAACTGATGACGCTATTACTAAGCTTTGGATGGTTAAATTAGTTGACGTGTTGCTAGATGCGAAATTGTTGGTTTCCAAAATATTTGAGATCTTGGATTTTGCTAATGCAAACTGCTATAATGATTAATCATCATTTACAAAACGCAACCACGATTTTGGAGAAATAGCATAGTATGGATTAAAGTGGGTATCTATCAAGCAAAAAATGAAGCATCTGCCAACTAGCATACAATAGAATAGCTCTGTTGACTTGTGTTGATATTTCAAGCAACTTCATTGTATCAACAATATCATATTGAACAAGTCGTCACTGTTTTATAATACTGCACTTACTGAATTCAAAAGTGCACTACCAAGACAGCAGAGGATATTCCCATATCTTGAACAAGGAGATCGTTTTGCAAAGTATGCCTGCAATGCCAGAGTATGCACTACAGCCGTGCATTTTGACTGAGTGTGCAGCTTATGCCATTAATCTACCACTTTTGAATGTTATTAAGTGTTTTGGAAAAGGTCTATATTTAATCACATGGTGAACCAACGCCTCCATTAAGTTCAGGTTTGGAGCAGCAAACCATTTTTTTATTGTTCTGTATGCATATTCACTCATTCGCTTGTGGATGCTGAATTGTGTGCTTCCATTTGAGACGGATCCATCATTCCACTGCCAGGAACCATCATTGGTTGTCCTCCACCTGATTGTTGTTGCTGGAGTTGCATGTGTTGTTGCATTTGTAACCATTCTTGTTGCTCCTGTTCTAACTGCTCTTGTCTAGCCTGTGATCATAAATACAATACATATATGAAACTATGGAGGTAGATACACTAAAATCAGCGATGGCCAAACCCAATAATCCTACTATTCCAAATTTCGAATATATTCTGAACTGGGCCATATTTGAAAAAAGTAAACATTTATGTCAATGTATATTCGATAAATTTACTTTGGAAAGAAAGTTTCACATTAACAGTGGTTTGATTTATATTTATCTACTTCTCAAAGTTTCTAGAAAATAAATGACACTTTTAGAGCCTACTGAGACACTCCAAATGAAAATATTCTCAATTATTTTTTAAACCAAGAATTTGAATTATCTGGTATAATTAATTTTGATTCAATCTAAATATCCAATTAGTATTCAACACCCCCTGACTAATAGAAAATTCATCGTTAAAGATTATATAGAGCAAAGGTGCACAACCTGCGGCCGGCTTGAAAAAAAAATGCGGCCGTCCACATACAAAATCCTATAAACAAAAACAAAAAAAAAGTTCAAAATATAGGATTTGGCAACATGCAAGACCAAGGGAGTCATTAAATTGCTACAATGCTTTGCAAACTTTTATAGAATAAATTCAATAAAAAAAATTTGACATTTTATTATACTGGGCGACCGCCCCTGCCCGACTCATATATATCTGCTCAAGAAATAGGTCCACCGAAAAGAAAAATACGATTAAAATGCGAAATATTATTCTTCCAAGTAGTCCTACATACTTTGTAATTGGGCATACTGCACCTGGCATGGGTCAAACACGCAGTTATGATGTCATAAGAGCAATAAATTTCACCCGCCTTCGGCACGCTCATAAACCCCCTGGAGGCCGTATTGGATACAAATGAATGCAATGTGGCCGCCAATAGCACAAAGGTTGTACACCCCTGATATAGAGAATACTGGAACAACATAGCATACATATGTAAGGTAAGGTACATGTTCTGACTCACATATTCCATTTAACTTTTATGTCAATAACAAGTATCAGATAGAAAAAATTCATTGCGATTACTACAAATTGAAGACTAAATGAGATACAAATTAAATAGTGACATTTATAGATGTCAAAGTCTGATTATCTTTAATTATTCAACAATTTGGTCATTGATAAAAAAGAGAAAAATAGCCGATCAACCAAACAAAAAATACCGATAAAAACAAAACTAAAATATACTGTCTAAGAAAACGCCTCTACCTTGGCAAACAATTCTTGCTGTTGACGCAACAGTTCTTCCTCTGGTATTCCCAAATTTTCTAGTCGACTGCTCCCTCTTCTTTTCTTTAAAGCCACGTGTTTGCATTCTTCTAAAACTTCTTTACATTCTTGTGTGTATGAACCAAAGCCCAAAGTGTTCAATGCTGAAAATAAAATTTCAATAAAATCCCATAAGAATTTTGCCATACATATAAATTCAAACTCCTGCACTGAAACTATTCTCTAAAATAAATGAAACGTAACGATAATAAAAAAAGCAAGAATTCAATTGATATTTTGCGCTATATTCAAAGAGTGGCTTGTCCATGGTTACTTGTATACTAGCATAATAATTATATAGTGTCCACGAAGTCTTAAAAAAATTAAAATCGCAAAAGGGAATGGGTAACATATATTGTTTCGTCCCCCAAAGATTAGTATTAAATGAAGTAAAAATACTTAAATAATTACTGATTAAAAAACAATAAACAATAATTGAAATTATAAAAAGACTTTATGGACACCCTGTATTACAAGCATAAAGCCCGACTGGAGAGAATCTCATCGTGCTTTATCATGTGTGCTATGAGTGACGGAAGTAAAATGAATTCTTATCTATATATTGCAAAGTCTCTTACACCTTTTGAGTAGTAATCTCGTAAGTGACCATGTTTCAAGTCAATGATATATAAAAAAGTTATTTAACTCCACTGCTGACACAATCACAGATTAGAACATGAATTCACTATCAGAAGGAAATTGATGAAGTGTATGCAAAAATATTTCAAAGCTAATATTAGTGATTACCCTGCAATACATGTTCAGGCATAATTGTTT